CTAAATGTGTTTACACTGATGCGACCAAACATGCATGCGAACGAGAGATGCTTGGAATTTTTTTTCTTTTTCCCTCTTTTTTTTATGTATTTTTGGGGAGTATATAATCTAACCGATTTCATTTAGGTTCTTTCTTGTTTCCATCACTTTTCTTATTAGATAACTCACGCTGTGATAATAGAAGACCTGCCAGGAATGGATAGATATTACAACGGCCACGGCTGAAATTTACTGCAAATAATCAAGCGATCAAGACATTCTCTAAACATTTTCGTCTTAGTGAATATTTTTTTCTTTTGATCAGAGTAGTATTTTTTTTATATCAAAATATCAGTCAGTCTCATTACGGTGAACAACTAATGCATTTAATGTGTTATTCTGTAAAATGTTCCTTTTGTGTTCATTTGATCTTATATTTAAATTCATAATTTATGCTAAACGTAAAATTTCATAAGAAAATACTTAACGAATATAACGTGAGCGGCTTTTACATATATAACTATCTTAAAAATTTAGGGAACTATTCTAAGTAATTTTATATTTTAGGTACTTTGACTTTAGATGTACTATAGTTACCGCACTTATTTCCTGATAATAACTTGTTGGGCGACCATATTTATAAAAATCAACACGTTTATAAACACACACACAGAAATAATTTTAAATTCTTCTTAAAATATACAGGGTGTCACTGAATTGTAGTAAGCATTTATGATTAGTACATATAGTTTTTAGTTAATAACAATATCACCTAAATGGTACAACTTAATACAGAATTTTAAAAGATTTTAAATTTTATAAATTATTCTAATTAAAATTCTTCAAAAATGTAAGCAATTCTTGTAAAAATTCATTATTCATTGGAAAATATTTTTTATAAGATAATAGTGTCCATAATATATCTGATTCGTAAAAGAAATTAAAAGTTTTTCTAATTAAATAATTTCTTAGTTTTATTACATTTTTTATTTTACGATTCGGAGCAGACTTTCGGAACTGGGAGTCTTGTTTTAAAAAAAAGTAAAAATAAAAAAATGATGATTTAAATTCTCCGAAAACCTCTGCTATATAACTAATATAAACATTAAACCCTACAAAAATGAAATTCTCAAACTTTCTGCAAGAATTTCCTAATCAATGTGTTTTTCATCGCAAAATAACACTAAAATTAGCCATACTAATAGATAGTCACCGGATGACGCACGAAAAAAAAAATTAACCAAAATTTTGCTGGTCCTAAAAAGGATTTAAAAATATAATTTTTAATAACATAAAGATTTTGAGGGTAATTATTTAATGACAGTTGGGAGGTATCTATATATATATATATATGTGTGTAGAGAGAGAGGGAGAGGGTAATGAAGGGTTTGGTAATCTGTGTGGATAATTCCAAAGAGGATGTAATCCAGAGAGCTCAATGTAACAACATAAAAACCGGTTCAAAAAAACCAACTACAGTGTAACCCGGATATAAGAGACCCGGATATAAGAGAAACCCGGATATAAGAGCTTTTCTCTGGTCTCAAATTAGAGCCTGTGTTAATGTATATAAAATAGACCAAACCCGGATATAAGAGAAACCCGGATATAAGAGACTTCTTCTCCGGTCCCGACAACTCTCTTACATCCGGGTTACACTGTATACCAAAAATATTTTGTGGGGAGACTTGCCCATGGAAATTACGGGATTTTAAATCATCAAGACACCAAATAATGCCTAATTTCTATATGTCGGATTAAAGACTTAGGTTAAACAATTTATGTGTAAATGTTTTCATATATATATATATATATATATATATATATATATATATATATATATATATATATATATATTTATGTGTCTGTATATATATCTATATATTTGTGTGTGTGTATGTATATATGTGTATGGGTGTGTATATATATATATGCATATATGTATGTACATGTGTTTGTATATGTGTGTATTTGTGTCTATATATGTGTGTATACCTCTATCTATAAAAGGCAGGAGGTGTGCGTGTGTGTGTAATGCACGGCCGCAATTTTCGACGGATTTGCACCAAAATTTACATGCACATGCCCTAAGTTTGCGGGGAGGCCAAGACCGACATTGCACTTCCCAACTCCCATCGATAGTGGAAATAATCGATTTCTTCATGCTTCTAAGGCAGTTTTCATGTAGTTTGCAGCCATTTTCTACTGGCCAGAGTGAGAGCCTATAGGTGGCTGCCACGAATAGGCAGGAAGATTCTATTGGCCAGCGTGAGAGCCAACAGTTGACTGACACGAATGTTAACTAGCGTGCTAGCATGCAAAAAAAATCGATAGCTGCATTCGTCACAAGTGGGAAAAATTTAAATCTGCATGGCACTTTACTCCAATTGGCTCATTCGCTTGCTTAAACTCAATGTTGATTCTGATTCCGCAGAACTGGGTTGGGTGTAAAAAAGTATTTGTTGTTAACATTCTTTTTTCATTCGGTTTTTCCAGTTACGAGTCCTTTTTTTTTAAAGCTGATCGTTTTGTGTTCATTTTGTTTAGTTCTTTTTCGTAACAGCTTTAATGTTTTAGTATAGAAACAGAAAAAAAATCACAGTGTGAGATAGGCAAGAAGTAAGACATGTAGCAACATCAGCCTGGCAAAGGCACTCCTTTAAAAAAAAAGGAAGGGCAAAAATATTTTGAGTCAAGTGATAGCGATTGCTGTATGAGTCGTACGATTTTTTGAACCAAGCACAGGCAACACCGGGCCATGCTGCTAAATATATATATATATATATATATATATATATATATATATATATATATATATATATATATATATTGCGTGTGTGTGTGTATGTATATATGTGTATGGGTGTATATATGTATATGCATATATGTATGTACATGTGTATGTATATGTGTGAATATGTGTGTATATATGTGTGTATATATGTATATATAGAGATGTGTGTATATGTTTATATGTATATATGTGTAGATGTGTGATAATATTATTTATCATTTTTATGTGTTCTGTTTGTTTTTATGTGTGTGTTTATAGATATATATATGTCTATATCTAAATATACATATATGTACATAGATGTAGATATGTGAATTTGTATATACTTATGTATATTTGTATGTATATACGTACATATTTGAGATGTATATGTGATTATTTTATGTATTGGTCTTTATATAATTGTAGTTTTGCTTGATACCATGACATGTATGTAAATATATGTATTAGAATAGGTGTATGTATGAATATGTGTGTATATATTAGCTTTTTCATTTACTTTGTAGAAGTTCTTATCAAAATACGGTTACTAAACAAATTTACCAAGGAACATTATTATTTTTAGATTTTTAGATTTTTATTTTTAAGATTTTACTCATTATTTTTTATTTAATTATCATTCTTTTTATTATTATTATGATTAATAATAATAATATTAGTAGTAGTAGTAAGTAATGTGATTAGTAATATTAAATTAATATTAAATATTTAATATTTAATTAATATTAAATATATTTTAATTTACCATTTATAAATTTTAATTTTTGAATTTCAAAATTCAATTTAAATTTATTTTTAACCTTTATTATAGTTGTTAGTAAAAATATTAATAATTTTTAAAATCTTTAAATTTTTTTTTAATAACATTTAATATATTGTCCTATATTAATTGCAATTGTATTAATCAGGATTAATAATATTATTGTAATTTTATTGATAGTATTATTAATATATCTCATTTTATTTTATTCCTACTTTGCTGGTAATCTTTAATACTTTATCTATTAAGTATAAATTATATTGATGTTTGTCTTTCAAGTGTCACCGTGATATGCTTACATATGATACGTCACTCTTCCTTCTTCCTCCCCTCCTCCGTTTAACTCTTTCTTTCTTCTTTCTTCTTCCTCTTTCCTCCCCTCTCCTGCTTTACCATTAGTCATTTTTTTTCTTTTTTTCTTTGTCTAAAAATTATTTAAGAGGTCAAATTTTCTGGCCTCTTCACTGAGTACACTTGAACCTACGGAAATTATTAAAGATGGTCTAAAAAAAAACAACTTATCTCTACATTCCATTCTCAATGCAGATCATTCTATAAACCGCCCCCTCTCACCCCCTCTATCACTTTATATCAAGCTAAAACTATCCCTCAAAAACTTGTATTAAAAAAGAAACCAAATTCCTTTGTAACTAGAGATGTGACCTGATGAACTAGGAAAATATATTTTCTGGGGAAATAAATTATAGCCAAGGAACCTTATTGTTGTCTCTTTCTTAATTATTTAATATATATATATATATATGTATGTGTGTGTGTGTGTGTGTGTGTGTGTGCAGCCCATAGAATTAATACAAATATAAAGTTTGTTACTATACTGATTAGTGTTACCCTTAGAATCCCGACTCCAGAGTTGCGTAGATGGACCCTCCAATAATAACTTCTTCCGTTTTTCCCCTTCTTTTTCTTCCTGTTTTTTTTTCTCTCTTTCATCTTCTGTTTCTTCCTTTCCTTTTTCTTTTTCTTTTGCTCTCTTTCTTTTTTCTTTTTTTTTTTCGTCTTTTCCTTCGTCTTTTTTTTTTCTTTTTGTCTTTCTCTTTTTTTCCTTCTCCTTCTTGATCTCTGGTTTTTCCCCCCTACATTCGTACTAGTTCTTTCAGCTTCCAATCACCTCTACATGATTACCTCTAAAACCACAACTCTCTCTCTCTCTCTCCTTCTCTTTCTCTTTCCATTCTTACTCTCTTTTCCCGCCAACACAGCTTTCTATCAGATCCTCAACCCGCTCCTTCTGTCTCCTGTCTTCTCTTTTAGCGGCTACAAGCTTCCTCTTTGTGATTCCGTTTTCCGTTGTTCTGACAGACTTTGCTTAAAGATTCTTTGACTTGTCTCTTTTTCAAAGGAATGGTCACCGGTCGCCTCCTTCTAATTAAGTGATGAGCTTCGGTGCAAGCGTATTTTTTTTTTTTTTTTTTGGCGCGACTGGTCGGGCAATGAAAGTAAAAGGTGTCAAAAAAATAAATCATAAGAGAAAGAGAGAGAGAGAGTGAGAGAAAGAGAAAGAGAGAGATTAGTCAAATATAATACGTTTAATAGAGAAATATGAGATAATAACTGGTGGCTAGTTGAAAAAAAAATAATGAGAACAAAAATGCATGGCGCAGATACACACGCACTGGCATACACACTTGTCTATATATATATATATATATATATATATATATATATATATGGATGGATGGATGAATTGTGTGTGCATGGTTTAATGGTTACCGTCGAGAAAACAGGGGTTGGCGTATCGAATTCAAATTCTATCGGAAACCGTTACGTTTGCTTTCGTATCAATACCCTTGGAAAAAGCGTGACTCCATCTCTCTCTACCCACCGCTTTGGGTTAAATAATAGGGCAGACTGGGCCCTATAGTTTGTGTTGCAACCATTCTAGAAGAAAAACAATTCTCCATTCAAAACCACTTGGAGGAAAGGCTTACTGGGGTGTGAATGATAAGGCTACCAATATAGTCAAGCGGTAGGTATATACCACTGGGTGTAACATGGTTAGCACACACACGCGCACACACACACACACACATATATATATATATATATAAAACTCTAAGCGTGACAAAAATGAAATGAGATATACTAGTTACAAATTTTAAGTGAATTTGACTATGAACAAATAACGTGACCATATAGTTTCCACCATCGCCAAAGAATGTGTCTTTGTGTGTACAATTAGAACGACAGAGAAAGAAATGAACAGAACCAAGTAGATATATAGATAGACAAACATGAATATAGATAGATAGATAGATAGATAGATAGATAGATAGATAGGAACAGACTGTGATACATAGGGAGGGACAGGCTGAGAGAGAGAGGGAGGGACAGAGAGAGAGAAACAGGGAGAGAGAAAGCAAACTGATAGATAGATAGATAGATAGATAGATAGATAGATAGATAGATAGATAGATAGATAGATATGAACAGACTGTGATACATAGGGAGGGACAGAGTGATAGAGACGGGGAGAGAAACAGGCTGAGCTAGCTAACTAGATAGATAGATAGATAGATAGATAGATAGATAGATAGATAGATAGATAGATAGATAGATAGATCCAGAGAAATTGAGAGTGAGAGAGGTGGTGATAGGAACAGACTGAGATAGCGAGAGAGGGAGATATGAACAGTCTCAGATAGAGAGAGAGAGAGGAGGAGGAAGAGAGAAGGATAAACAAATACAGAGAAAGGGAGGTGAGCTATGAACAGGCTGAGCGAGGGAGATATGAAGAGATTCAGATAGATAGATAGATAGATAGATAGATAGATTGATTTTGATTGATTATATTTGATTTTGTTTATAAGAATAGGTATATAGAGAAATATAAAATAGTATATACACACACACACACACACACACACACACACACACACACACACACACACACACACACACATATATATATATATATATAGAGAGAGAGAGAGAGAGAGGAGAGGGAGAGAGAAAGAGCAATAGAGAGCGAGAATAATAGTGGAACACACACATCTGTATCTTACGTTTGCATGTATGTGGTTTTTATATATATATATATATATATATATATATATATATATATATATATTATTGAGACTAGATTATATGATATTATATATATATATATATATATATATGAGATTGAACATGTACATAAATAGCTGAAAACATACATATAGACACACATATACATACGTACACACGGTTAGATAGATACGGTCTTTATATATTGGATACAATTGTCCATATACGCCTATTCTCTTTTGTATGGCGTAAGTACTTTTTTTCTTTTTTTGTAAGTTTTCCTCTTTTTCCCTTTTTAACGTAATTTCCCTCTGATCAATCCCTGTAACATACGTTTGATGCTTTGTGTAACTGGTAGAAGGGGTTAATTTGGCGCCAGGACTACTCTTTGATGATGGAACGACAATTTTGATGTGGGAATATATATATATATATATATATATATATATATATATATATATATATATATATATAGAAGGAAGAGAGAGGAAGCAATTCCTTTTATCTCAACTTCCTCAATACTTTCATTTTTCCTTTTGTTACGTAGGGTCTGCCATGTAATAACATGGGAATAGAATTAAAAACCAAAACGAGGCCAAAACCTCGTTTTCGATTTTATTCTGTTTGTTTTCTGTTTTTTATATCACGTAATAAAGTCCGAAATAAAATTAAAAAAATATTATGAATAAATGACGTTTTAAAAAATAATAAATATCAACAATCGTATTATTATTATTATTATTATTATTATTTGTGTATATTATGTTTTCTGCTTTGTATTCTGTAGAGCCGAGTCCAAACTATGATCCTTAAACCCTATAAGGAGAATTTTCATTTAACTGATTGCACTTTCCTAGTAGGGCGATCTTCCGAGCAACCTGTATGTTGATGTTACCTGGGACTCTGTTAGAAAAATTGTCCATTCCTTTTCTCACGATGCCCAGAGCTCCGATTACTACTGGTACAGTCTCAGTCTTCATTCCCCACATCCTGTTAATCTCGATCTCCAGGTCCTTTGGTTTTTCGATTTTGAACAATTTCTCGATAATTTTCATGGAGGTATTTCTCTCAGATGGTGCTGCTATGTCAATAAGCATACACTTCCTGAATTTCTTTTATGATAATATCAGTTCTGTTGGCTTTCCCTGTCAGTTTGAACTAGCGTGTCCCAGAGGATAGTTACAGCGATATTTTGGGTAATTATGTCTTGTTGGTGCTCATACCATCTCTCAGTGGTTTCGATTTTGTGCTTCTTGCATATCTTCCAGTGCACATATGTTGCTACCTTGTTATATCCGTGTGTATATTCATCTTTTGCTAGTTCCGAACATCCTGAGATAATATAGTCGACATTTTCAGCATAATTTCCGCAGATTCTACATTTCGGGTTAGCCCCATCCTTGATTATGTGACAGTGATAAGATCTGGTTGCGAGTACTTGGTCCTGAGTTGCAATAATTAGGCCTTCTGTCTCAGCTTTCAACTCTGTGCTCCTCAGCTACTGATGTGATTTCTGCTGGTCACATCTTTTTCTTTCGTTCTTTTTAGGTATTCGCCATGCAGCGCCTTGTCCTTGCAATTATTATTATTATTATTATTATTATTATTATTATTATTTTGCTTGTAATTTCATTTGGCCATGTTGTTTTGCTTTCTGTTTTACTCGTTTGGTGTAGATGGTATTAACTTCGTTTTTAGTTGGTAGGATTTCAGGCATATTAAGCTGTTTCTTGAAGAGTGCAGCTTCTTTGTTGATGGAGTGGATTTGGCGTTTTACTATTTGTAGGAGAGGGTCATTGGTTTTTGTGAAATATGCTTCCAATCCGATTGTTGGAGTTAGTTCAATTTGGTTTCGACATCGGCCTCCTAAAGCTCCTTGGTAAGTACAGCCTATCAACATCTGGTGGCGATCCTCATTTGGGTAAGCATTTTTCTGGTCTTGGCGTCCAATCTTTTAATATCATTCAACTTCCATTTAATAATATTGAAGCTGTATCTTACTACGGGTGTTTGCTAAGGTGTTAATAGCCTTCATTTTATTGGCCCCATTAAATTCAATTTCTCGTATCAAACACACTCTCTCCTATATTATTCTTTTCGGATCTTTTCCTTCATAACTGAATATTGTATTTCGTCTTCTTCATTAATTCCTAAGTATATGCATGTACCATCTTGGTTTAGTTCCTTAATATTGTTGTTGATATCAAGGTCTAAATCTGTAGTTTACATTAGTTTATTACCCTTGAAGCTAGCTTTGGCACATTTGTCGATTCCGAGCTCCAACCCAATGTCATCGCTGAAGATTTTGACAATGGTGAGTAGGTTTTTCTGCTGGTTGTCATCTTTGGTAAACGTTTTAAGATCATCAATATAGAATAGGTGATTCAATTTGCCATTCTGTGACTTGTATCCATAGTTACTGTTGTTCAGTGCACAGCTGAGTGGCGCTAATACAATTCAGAAGAGTAGTGGTGACAATGAATCTCCTTGAAAGATCCCGCTTTTGATGTTGATTGGTATCGATGTTAATGACCCTTTTGTATGGTTTAGGTCTAGTGTTGTCTTCTAGTTTCTTATGCTCTCCGTTATGAATTTGACCGTCGTGAGGCATATCTTTTAGGCTCTTCTCTATCCATGAGTCTGGTCCACTGTCGAACACCTTTCTGGAGTCGAAATATGCTATTTTCTTTTCCTTGTTTTCACCTCTTCTAATATCGCTTTATTGATAATCAGTTGGTCCTTGCACTCGTAACTTCCTCTTTTACACCCCTTCTGTTCTGCTGGGAGTAAATTGTTTTTCTCAAGGAAATTGTTTATCCTTTCAGTTATTTTTGGTAGGCAGGTTCTGCGTCTCTTCTGTTTTGGAGAATAGCTATGTTACTACCCACATGAGCCAAATGGGTCATTTTACTGGGTTTATATTACTGTATTCCCGTGCAAGGTTTTGATGGGTGATAGGTATGGTTTTTTAATCCAAAAATTGGCCATTCGGTCTATTTCTGGTACTTTCCGGTTTTTGGTTTTGCATGTGGCAGCGGTTGTTTCAGTAATATTGATATCCGTCCTTTTCTGCTCCTCTGCATGTGTTCACCAGTTCTCGGTATAGTTTCTTGGCATCTTCTTTGAAGATCTTGTCTTGCCTGGAGAATCTGTTACTTTTTTTCATAACTTCTGATTCTCTGGGCCTTCAATTAAATTTATTGTTTCAGCTTCCCTTTAACTTTTGGTACGTCAGTCTTATTTTTTTATGTCAAGAATACGTTTCAGTTGTCTTCTTTTTCTTTCTTTCATTTTGGAGTCCTTGACTACTTCACTTAGAAGTGGCAATTTCCTCGTAGTTTATTTCAGTTTTCTATTTTCTAGCATTTTTCTTTTTCGTTTACGTTGTGTTGTTACTTTTTCACCTATTTTTTCTGACGATCTTTGCCGTGACCGCTTATATAAGATGATTAATTTCTGTCAGGTTCATCGGCCTTTCCATTTCGTCCCTTATTTTTCTAATTGCTTGGCTAGCAAGATTGATAGTTTCCTTCACTTGACGGTTCTTTTTTTACTTTTGGAATTGTTGGCTTTTCCTCGAAAGGCATGTTCTTTATTATTATTATTATATGCGCTTGCATGCTCATAGATATTTAGTGTTTATCATGAGAGACTGAGTGACTGCAAGTCTCCTCAAATCTTTAGCACCTTTCTCTGTATCTCTGCAAGTCCCATCAATACCACGATGGTTCTTTTAAACGTGGTTTTTCGTCTTTGTTAAAAGGTTATGAGCCCGTCAACTATTTCAGACACGAACTTAATATTCATTATCCACTCTTACCCAAGTTATCGGAAAAGGTCCTTGTATTTATAATTTTAACTTGCTTTTTTTCTAACTTGCGCTCCTTTCGCACAGTTTTATCTACGGTATCTGGCAAGTCTTTTTCTTACAACAATCAGATCTGGTTTTTATGCTTACATAGAACGGTCAGTCGGGATCTCAGGAAAGTATTGTGTTCAACGGCCTTTATTTGTTTGTGAAGCTCTTCGTAGCCTAGCGGTTAAAGTACGCCGATGAATAGAGGATGGTTTCTCATGTAAATGGGGGCTCACATTTGAAACTTACCGGGGGGGGGGCACATTTTCTTTAAGGTATTTTCTCTAGTCAACAGGCAGGTAGACGAAATAAATACTGTTTAAAATAAAAAAAACAGCCTCTACTCAAATATGGGTATCCTGTAAAAAGAACAGTTGAAGTAATAAAAAATGTGTCAGATTAAAAAATAAAGTTCATTATTTCTTTAAAAATATACATATATATATATATATATATATATATATATATATGTGTGTGTGTGTGTGTGTGTGTGTGTGTGTGTGTGTGTGTGTGTGTAATTGCCGTTTACTCGATTTCTGAGCAACTGCTATGCTATGACGACTAGCCAATCCCAAATTGCAGACACCCGCTGAGGCACATTCGTGTTTGTTCAGTACCAACAGAGCCCCCCGTAGTTTATTCTGCAAATATGACGAGCGGGCCGAAGTTACAGAGGGCATAATCTCTCATGATCAGAATTTTAAACAACAGCAGTACGCTCAAACGCTCGGTCATGATGACTTGTGATGCGTGGCCGATTTGTTACGACGTTCGCTTTCCGACCATGAGACCAGGATTCGAGTTTTACAATGGTTGATTTGTCAGGGTTGGAGGGTGAAGTCTTGATATTTTC